CATAGATGCAAAAGTGGATTTGTCTTTAGCTCAGAGGGTCTGTGAATTTCCTGTGTGGTTGCTAAACTTATGTATATTAAAATATTTTTATATAAATAAATATATAAAATATATTTCTTGTGGTGTTGGGATGGAATACAGAGTCTCATGCATGCTAGACAAATGCTTTACCACTGAACCACCCAACTACCTTATTTTTATTTTATTTTTTTGGTGGGACCTGGGTTTGAACTCAGGGCTTCACCCTTGCAAAGCAGGTGCTCTATTGCTTGAGCCATACCTCCAGTGCGTTTTGCTCTAGTTATTTTGGAGATGGGAGTCTAGTGAACTATCTGCCTGGCCTGGCCTTGAGCTGCAATCCTCCCAATCTCAGCCTCTCAAGTAGCTAGGATTACAGGTGTTGAATCACTGGCACCTGGCTTGCCTCAGTGAATTTGACTTTTTTAAAAAAATTCCATTTATAAGTGAGATCATGTGGTATTTGTCTTTCTGTGTCTAGTTTATTTCACTTAGTATAAAACCTTCACGATTCTTCCATGTTGTAGCAAATGACAGAATCTCTTTTTTTCCCCTTAACTTTAAAAAAAATAGCATGCATTAATTGTGCAGAATAGCAGGTTTCATTGCAACATTTTCCTATATGCATATAACATACTTTCATCATATTTACCCTATTATCCTCTCTTGTCCCCACTCCTGTGGTCTTTTTCCTCTTCTCAAATTTCCCTCCTCCTCTACTTTCATATCTCTTTAAAAAAATTCTTCATATTGCATATGATAGAAAACATGTAATATTTGTCTTTGTGTGTCTGGCTTATTTCACTTACCATGATGATATCCAGTTCCATCAATTATATTGCAAATGACATAATTTCATTCTTCTTAATGACTGAATAATACCCAATTGTATATCTATATCTATATAGAGATATATATGTATAAATATCTATATCTATATTTACATGCATGTGTATATTTATATGTATCTATCTATCTATTTCTATGTATTATGTTTTCTCTTTTTGCTTTTTTTTTTTTTTGCTGTACTGGGGCTTGAACTCAGGGCCTTCACCTTGAGCCACTCCACCAGCCCTTTTTTGTGATGTTTCTTTTCGAGATAGCCCAGGCTGGCTTCGAACTGCTATCCCCTGATCTCTGCCTCCCGAGTAGCTAGGATTACAGGATTACAGGTGTGAGCCACTGGTACCCAACTTTTCTTTTGCATTTAAATGTGTTTAACTTATTTTATTTTTATTGTTGTGCTGAGTGGAGGTACATTGTGGCATTTACAAAAGTTCTTAAAATATATTGAATATATCATACTTGAATTCACCCCCGCCACTGCTCTCTTTCATCCCCCCTCCCCCCATTCCTGGAATAGTTTCAACAGGTCTCATTTTTCCATTAACATACATTTGTATATATTTCCAACATATTCACCCTCCTACACCCTTTCCCCACCTCTTCCCCACACTGTTACCCGCCCCCACGGGACATGTTCTGCCCTCCTGTTTTCCGATTTTGTAAAAGAAAGAAAAAATGTGACATTTTTGTTTGTTTAAGTTAGCTATACAGGGAGTTTCTTGTGACATTTCCATGTACATATGTATTATAACCCAAATTGTTTCATCTTCTCTACTTTTCTTCTTTCTACCTTAGTCCCCTTCTTATGGTGTTTTCAACAGGCTTAAGAATTCCGTATTCATTCTTGTGTGGAGAATATATCAACCATGTTCACTTTCTTAACTTCCTTTCTTTACTCTCCCCCTCTTTTATGTGACCTCCCCTTGGCGTGACTTCTTTTTCATGAAATTGCTACATTTGTGTTAGGTCTATATTCCACATGTGAGAGAAAACGTGTGGCTTTTGGCCTTCTGAACCTGGCTAACTTCGCTTAAGGTGGTGTTCTCCAGTTCCATTCTTTTACCTGCAAACGATGAAATTTCATTCTTCTTTGGGGCATCTTGGCTGTTCCCATAGCTATTGTATATCACATTTTCTTTATCCATTCATCTGTTGATGGGCACCTTGACCAATTCCACACATTGCTATAGTGAATAGTGCTGTGATAAACATGGGTGTGCAGGTATTGCTATTGGATGCTTACTTGCCTTCCTTTGGTTATATACCCCAGAGTGGTGCAGCAGAATCCTATGGTAGTTCTAATTTTAGTTTTTTTGAGGAACCTCCATACTTATTCCCTAGTGGCTGCACTAATTTACATTCTCACAAACAGTGCTTGGGGGTTCCTTTTCCCTCACATCCTCACCAGCATTTGTGATTTGTTTTCTCAATGATAGCCTGTTTGGATAGGGTGAGATGGAATCTTAATGTAGTTTCAATTTTCATTTCCATTATGGCAAATGATTTGAACATTTTTCATGTATTTATTGGCTATTTGTTCTTCTTTTAAGAACTGTCTGTTCAATTCATCTGTCCATTTATTGACTGGCAGAACCTCCATTTTTTTTAAAGCTGAGTGCTATTCCATATTTAACATGGCATATTTTCTTTATCCATGTGCCTGTCAATGGACCCTTGGCTTTTCCATATCTTGGCTATTGCAAATAATTGTGCAGTGAACATGGGTGTGCAGGTGTCTTAATGAGGTACTAACTTAATTTCCTTTGGGTATGTACTCTAAAGATGGATTGCTGGGTCAGATGGTAGCTATGTTTTAATTTCTTTAGGAAACTCCATACTATTTCCCACAACGGCTGCTTCATTCTACCTTCCCACAAATAGTGTACCATGATTCCCTTTACCCCATATCCTCACCAACACTTGCTATTTCTCATCTTTTTGATAATAGCCATCCTAAGAGATGTGAGGTGATAGTTCATTTTGATTTTTCATAGCAAACATGGAATTTATTGTAAGATAGTTGTCAAACCTTTTTTTTTTTTTTTGAAAGGACTAGAGTTTAAAGTCAGGGCTTTGCGTTTGCAAAACAGGTGCTCTTTGACTTGATCCACTCCTCTAGTCCATTTTTCTCTGGTTATTTTGGAAATGGGATGTCTCGAACTGTTTGCCTGGGCTGTCTTTGAATCACAGTCCTTCCTATTTTGTCCTCTTAAGTAGCTAGGATTATAGACATGAGCCACTGGTGCCTGGTTTAAACCATTTTTTTAAAAATAAAGGGCCAGATAGTAAATATTTTCAACTTCATATGCCATGTGTTGGCTGTTGTAATTACTCAAGTGTCCCCTTGTAGGGGGAAAGCAGCCATTGACCACATTCAAATGAATAAACATGACTGTGTACCAATAAAGCTTTATTTACAAAAACAGGCTGCAGCTTGGGTTTAGCAAGTGGACCTTAGCTTTCTGACCCTTGTATTCAGGATGCCTGGGTGTTTGGACTACAGTTTTGCCCATGAGTGGGAGCACAGTACTTGGTCTGTGCATTATTGGGAGGACTTGGTTCTGCACGCCCGCTTGGGCCTTGGCTGCATGTTCTGCCTTCCCATGGATCAAGCCCCAACCACACTCATGGCTATGTCTGTGCCATAGACCAGGAATCCTGGGTCCACCACTGAAGATAACCATATACAAGTCACTCCTTAGTGAGGGGGTTCCACTAGATCAGGAGTATGACATGCTGGGACAGAGATGCAGCTCAGTGGTGGAGCATTTCTCTAGCATGCATGAGACCCTGGGTTTGGTCCCCAGCACCCCTGACCAAAAAAAAATCCTTAAAAGGTATGTCACCATCAGGCATGGTATGCCCCTGCAGTAAGACAGGTTCCAGCTTCCAGGATGCTAAGAGGACAAGCACTTTGAGGCTACATCTGAGTTCAGTAGGAAAGGTGGTGTGATGGATTAGTCATGTCTGCCACAGGACCAGGATAGAAATAGCAGCACATCTGCTAAATATGTGTGTTGCTATGGCTAGCTGATCTCTGAGGTCCCTTATAATTTTGACAAAACATGGTTCTGAGGAAGGCAAAATAGGTTCTGTCTGGGGGTTTACTAGTGGGAGGGGAAGGATATAATGAAAGGGTGTAGGAGGATGAATATTGTGGAAATATTATATACACATGTATGTAAATGTATAAATGGGACCTGTTGAAACTATTCTAAGAATGGGGAGGAGAGATAAGGGAGAGTGATGGAGGGGATGAATTCAAATATGATATAGTGTAAGAACTTTGGTAAATGTCACAGCGTACCCCCAACAACAGTAAAAAAAAGACATGGTTCGATGTCTGGATACTTCCTTGGGGACATTCTTGGAACAATCAAGTAAAATATAGCTATTCAATAAAGAAGTATGGTTTGTAATTTCAGAAATTCCTAGCACATCTGCTTGTATGCAAAAAACAGGACAAGGCTTGTGACAGACACACACCAGGATGCAGAAAAAGAAATCAAATCCACAGTTCCTTTACATAAACTTCGCAGTTTAGGCACAAACAAAGATTCTGACATACTTCTTCCAAGTTTGACAACTGTTTATTGAACACTCATTATGTCAATCAAAGATTGTTCCCCACCCTACAATAATGGTAATTTCCAGAGCTTTATATTGGGTAAGAGGGTGCTATCTATTAAAAGAGTGTCAGAAATGGTTTTCTGGAATAAGTTGGGGTGGAGATAGTGGAAAGAGAGTAGAATGGATGTGGGCTGCAGGAGCAATATTGATGGGGCGGCAGGTAACCATGCACTGGCTTATTAGTGGAAAGTGTTGGGCTTTGTCTGTTTACCTTTGTATGCATATGATTCATAGGAGAAGAAGAGGGTGTCAGCTGAACACAGGAGCAAAAAGTAAAAGGAAATGAACTCTGAGGTTGCATTAGTAGAGGAAGGGGAGTCTAGCCAGAGGGAGGTGATGATATTGTTACCATGATGCCTTGCTCTCAGTTTTGGCTGACTTGCTCTAAGAAGGATATGGATGAGAGGGTGTGATGAAAGAGGGTAGGGTATCGTTTAGCCTCTGGAAGAAAAGATTTTTGAAGAGTGATGACAGTTGCCTCTAAATATCTGTTGCCTTTTCAACTTTTACTGCAGGTAGAGCTGTTTTCGGAGGGTGCTTTGGATTTCTGGGTTCACTTTCCTTGCTCTCCCTTCCTGAATCAGCTCAGCTTTTGCCATACGTCGGGTCACCTGCAGCAAAGGTGTCATCAGCTTTCAGGGGTGGGAAGTACTAGGTCCCTGGAGGGAGCTGGTGAAATGGGCTCATAGGGAGAAGGTTAGAGAACATGGCAGGTGGATATCCATGTTTCAAGATGAGACCTTAATTGCCTCCTCCTACACTATGCTTTCTGTGGAATCATTGGCTGGACAGTTTTGATACAGATACATATATATGTATTCTAAAACATATACATATACATACATATATATTATATATGCTTATATGCAATAAAAATACAATACCAGGCTGGGCACCATGGCTCATGCCTATAATCCTAACTGCTTGAGAGGTGGAGATCAGGAAGATGGAGGTTTGAGGCCAGCCTGGGCACAGTGGTGTGCACCTGCCACCCTAGTAACACATGAAGTGTAAATAAGAGGATTGTGGTCCAGTCTGCTCCCCCCTCCCCCAGCCATAAATGTGAGACCTTATTCAAAAAATAACTAAAGCAAAAGGGGCTGGTGGAGTGGCTTAAGTGGTAGAGCATCTGCCTAGCAAGCATGAGGTCCTGAGTTCAAACCCCCAGTACCACCAAAAAAAAAAAAAACACCATTAGAAGAAAAAGGGTTGCCCAAACATTGGTTAAATATGGTGGATTTGTTTGCAAAAATTGATCTTTAGAGCTCTGGGAGTCCCTGCACTAGGGAAATTTGTTGCTGAAGACAGGTATCTTAGTTTCTGTGTGGGGATTTGGGGATGGGAGAAAAGGAGAAACATTGGGAGCAGGCTCAGTCTGCTCTGCTTGCACCATGCTCACCCTGGAAAGATGTTCCAAACACCTTGTTTCAACTCACCTCTGTCAGAAGTTCCAGAATGGGTCCTTTTCTCTCTGTGAGCACGTCAACCAGGGTCTGAATGAAGCAAGAGCCTTCCTTGTCGTGTCTGTAGGCGATGTACCCTGGGGAATTTTAGAGAGATGGGCTTGGGGGGGTGCCAAGGAGCTGGAGGGGACCTTGGAAGAGTGTGGGTTCTGTAGGCTTGACTTGGGGATCTGCAGTGGTGGGTGAGGGGGAGGAGCAGAGGCCACCCTGCACCAACTGGGAGCTCATACCCTCCACTGTAGAGTAGACATGGAGGGTGTCCGTGTATGTGGGGACAGTCTGGGGGTTGTCCTTGGTGATTATGGCAACCTTGTCCCCACCTATTGTTTCACCGAGGTCCCTGTGTTCTGAAACACCAAGAAGAGGGTAAAACAAAGTTAGAGAGGAAGACGGAGCAAGGAGAAGCTCAGAGGACACAGTACCAGGGTCTCTGAATCTAGGATTGGGATGGATTAAGAATAATGGAATATTATTCAGTTGTAAAGAATGAAATTAGGTTGTTTGCAGGAAAATAGGATGAAACTAGGGATCACCATTTTAGTTTTTTTTTTTTTGTGGTACTGGGGCTTGAACTCAGGTCTCTAGCTAGGCAGGCACTCTACTACTTGAGCCACTCCACTAGTTAGGCATCATCATGTTAAGTGAAATAAGACAGATTGAGAAAGACATTTATCACATGCTCTCTTTCATGTGCAGAATCTAGTCTTTAAAGATGAATTTCAGGAAGGTCCTGTTTGGGGGTGAGTATTAGTGGAAGGGGGAGGGTAAAAGGAGAGGGCAAAGTGGGGGGTGAATATGGTTGAAATACTTTATACCCATGTATGAAAATGCATTCATTGTTCAATGAAAACTGTTGAACTTGTTTTAAGAAGGGTGGAGGGGAGGGCTACAGGGGGTGAATTTGATTGATTTACATCATATGCATATGTGGAAATATTACAGTAAAACCCCCTTGTACAATAATATATGCTAAAAAAAAAACCCCATGAACTCTGCTCTTGGGTCTGTCCCTACCTCCTCGACAGGCTTGCACGATGTACACCTTGGGCTTGGCTCTCAGGTTCCGGCAATTCTTGTTGTTCAGGACCTCGAAGAGGTCATCCAGCTTCACCATCTTGCCATCTTCTCCCTTGAGGAGTCCTTCCTCCCCATGGGCCATGAGCACCACAAAGGCACAGCTGACCGGGTCTTCCCAGTTGTCTATGGTCTGCTGGAATTTTTCCATCTCTTCCAGGAATTGCTGGAGAGGGAGGACAGACCTGGCTCAGAGAGACTGTAGAGCCTACTTATCTGGTTCAGCGCTGTTCCCTCTTGGCCTGGAGTTGCCCGCCCAATACCTGAGCAGTGGGATCTCTCTTTGTAGTGGCTTGAAATCTCAGCTGCTGGAACATGAGATCCAGGGCATCCAGGTCTGCTCCTGAACCTTCCCGTGCTTTGGTGACACAGAGTGTCAGGGCCAGGCGGGCGCCTGACATATCATAGGCTTCCTTGGTGCCAAGAAATGACAAAAATCAACAAAGGCAAGGAGGTCACAGGGAAGCAGAGATGTAGTCTAAAGAGTCCTGGGGTTCGGGTTGCCAGGTAAGTATTTTACTTGATGTCTGGTGACATGTGAGTACATCTCAAGTAAAAAAAAAAAAACCAAAAACAAAAAAACGTGTCAGTATAAGTGTATCTCAAATATTGCTGGGGATGTATTTAGACCATGGTTGCTGATGTGAAGTTCAAGTTCAACTGGGCTTCCTCTATTTTTCTTTGCTAAATCTGGCAACCTAACTGGGGTCTGGCTCTGCCTTGGTAAAAACCTCTTAGGCAAGTCACTTTTTTTTTTGTGGTGGTATTGGGGATTGAACTCAGCATCTCACACTTGCTAGGCAGGCACTCTGCCACTTGAGCCACTCCACCAGCCCTGTTCTGTGTTGGATATTTTTAACATAAGGTCTCATGAACTATTTGTCCAGGTTCAAACTGTGATCCTCCTGATCTCTGCCTCCTGAGTAGTTGGAGTTATAGGTGTGAGCCACCTGTGTCTGTTGCAAGTCACTGTTTTTTTTTTTTAAATCTGTTTTCAGCCTCTGTTTTTAAATATAGATGAGTGTGTGTGTATGATTTTGAAGGTCCCTTCCAATTGTCACAGTTGATGGCTTTGTCTCTCTCCCCATTTTCCTGAACTTTCTCACTTGCACAGGACTCAGAATTTCCAAAGCAAATATTTTATTCCAGCTGAGGAATAAGGATACCAGAGACAAAATTTCTTTTCAGAAGAGAAGCAGGGCACTGAGATCCATAGTGATAGGGGCTTGGTCTTTGGAGAGACAGATGTAGTTGTGTTCTCTCCTTCCCCCTCCAATCTGAGTTCTGCCTTTGAGTTTCTTTTATCATCTGGAAGATCAAAAGTACCTTCTAGCTAGACCCAGTCATGAGGTTTTTTTCATTCTCTGCCTTGAGTAGTGCTGGGGATTGAACTTGGGACCTTCTGCATGGCAGGCAAGTACTCTACTCCTGAGCTATACCCCCAACACTATTTCCATACTCTTTCTGAGCCTTAAACCCATCACATCCCTCCTCCCCGTATGTGCCCCTTTCACTCAACCTACACACAGCCCACCTCCTCCAATGGCCGAGGATTGCTCATTTCTCCGTTGATCTTAAGTATGGCTTTCGGTCCCCTTTTCTGATCCTGGGGGTCAAGAAAAGATAGGTTGAAAGTCCCCAAAGGGGGCAGATTAGTTTGTCTATCTGGATTTTTCGAGATAGAATAGAATGCCGGTGGTGGAGATTTGCTGTGTGGTAAAACTTGGGCAAGAGATGACAGTCCGTGGAGTATTTCCTCTCTAGAGTGACAATCTGGTGCAGTCTCCATCCATGGATGTCCTTGGAACACCTTCCAGGTCTACTCCAAAATGGCATCCCTAAGAACACTCACAAGCTTGTGATAGACTAGGCTTCCTCCTGAAGGCCCTGGGCTCATGAGAATGGCAAGTGGCCCTACACTCCCCTCTCCTGCCTCCTGGCTGGGGAGGCACCAATAAGGGTTGGGTTTAGGATAAACACTCCATGAAAGTGAAGGATACTACTTTGAAACTGTCCTGGTGGGTCTCCAATCTGAAGAGGTCAAGCTGTCTCCCTTTTCTGCCTTGACATACATCTATCAAAGTTTTTCATTCTCCTCTGAGTCCAGCGATGCTCCATGGCCAAATAGAAAGACTTCTGGTAAACTCTTGGTGCCTTCCCATTGCCTTGCTTTTTCTTAAACTTCTTTGTTATCCCAGGATGTGTCTTTACCAGCAAAGACACTTTCCTGATAATCTGGGTGGCATAGTGTCTGCCATGCCTCCCCCCACCTTCTGTCTATCCTCCCCACTCACCCATTCACCCATCTATCCATTTACCCATCTCTTTATCCATCAATCAACCTACCTGTGCATCTTTCCACTCATCCATCCACCCACTCACCCACCCACCCACCTTCCATTCGTTTACCCATCTATCCAGTCACTCATCCATCCATCCATTCATCCACCCATTCATACATCTACCTACCCATCTACCCACCTTTAACCCATCCATCCACTTATCCATCCAGCCACTCATCTGTCACTCATCATCCATACATCTATTTATCCATCCACATACCTACTCATCAACCCATCCACTTATCCATCAACCCATCCAATCAACTAATCCATTCTTTCTTCCTTCTGTCCATCCATCCACCCACCCATCCACCCACCCATCTATCCACTTATCCATCCAATCATCCACTCACCCACCCATCCAGTACATACATGTTAAGTACTGGAATACACTATATAAGACATTGTTCTTGCCCTCATGTAGCTCTGGTTTATGACAAAAATGACCATTAGACCTCTCTCTGACTGACACACACACACACACACACACATGCACACACACATGCAAACACACACACACACACACACACACACATGCTGAGAAGAAAGATGAGCCACATGTTCTGAAAGAGAAAGTGGAACCAGATAAACCAGAATCGTGTCCTGACTTTCCCAGCCGTGAGTCCATAAGCTTCTTACTCCCTTGCCTGAGAGTTTCCCCACCAGAATAGGAAGGACCTGGAAAGAGCACTACTAGGTGCTTAATAGCAATGCAAAGAAAAGTAGGTTTTATTTTCCCTGTTAACTTCCTGGATGTGGTCACTTCCTTCTCCAGATTTCCACAGCTTTACCTGTTTATACTTGCATTACGGCAGCATGCTTACGAAAACAATTTGTTGAATATCACTTTAATCAACTGTTTATAGTTATATATGCATAAAAAGATTGCAATACAGATATATTCAGAGGTAGGAAAATAATTTTATAAGAAAAATCTCATACTTTATATACTATACAAAAATAACTTTAGATTTTCCTTAACAGAGCAAAGAAAATGGCATGGACAAAAGCAGCAGTGTTTGTTGAATCTTATTCCCAGGGCTGAACTGGTGTCTCACTTTCCAAGGCTCAAAGCATGACATCTCTACCTCTGTCTCCATTAGGGCCAACAGTGTGGACGTAGAGGCGGTGTCTGGGAGAATGTGTTGAGTAAATAAATAATTAACAAATGAAAATGAAAGAAGGCATGAATAGATGGATGGATGGATGGAAATTTCTTCAGTTCTGTCAGAATTGATTAGAGCATATGCTCATAGGAGGAGAGGGGGAGTGTTTGTGTGTGTGTGTGTGTGTGTGTATGAGAGAGAGAGAGAGAGAGAG